AGCAGAAGGCAGCCTTGCCCCCAAGGCCACACTCTTGCAAGGCAGTGCACATCCAACAACTCCAGGCCCAACTATAGCGGCCTGGTCACCTTGCCCTAAGTTGGGACAACAGTGAAGAGCTGTCCCACCTTCGGAGCTCCCTGTGAAATTGGCTGAGTCTCCCCTGAAACAACAGGGTGGCTGGGCTTCTGCTCTGCTGGTCCGGCTCCTTTCTCTTCCCTCTGCAGGGACTGGGCCCACGGGCACCCCTAATAACCTTTCACACCCTGACCTCCCACTTGGGGACTGCTTTCTGGGGAACCCAACCTGTGACAGCTGACAGTGTGCTTCATTGCTGTTGCTGTTTTTCTTTTTAACTGAGGGGCACTGCATATAACATACATTTGCCATCTTAAGCACTGTTAAGTGTAGAGTTCGGTGGCATTGGGTACATTCACATTGTTGTGCTGCCATCACCACCCTGTGGGTACTTGGGACAGTGAGGCCACGGCCATCCCCTCCTCTCCCCGCCCCACTTCTTTTCAAACTTGGTGGCTATCCCTGAGCCTAGACTGGAACTTGCTCCTCAGGAAGAAAAAAAAACCACAACTCAGGGCTCTTCCCTTCCCTTAGAAAACCCCTGAGTGGGTTCACAAGGGTCTGACAGAGGAGGAAGAATGAGGTTGCAACAACCCACAGACAGATTTCTGAGATCGCCAGCAAAACCTGTGCTGCTGCAAAAGCCTTCCTTGCTTTCCCTCAGTCTCCTCATCCTCACTTGCTCACTTGCTCCTTCGGTCATGGCAGTGAGAGCTTCTTTCTTTAGAAAAACGTGGGTATTTGTCAGGCACCTGCTGGGGTTCTGGCACTATGCTGGATTCAGAAGGAAACGCCACACACAAGAGTCACGCTGTGTTGTTGGTTTTTGTTCAGGGTTAAGCACTTTGCCTGGGAAAAATCCTGTGGCCTCTGAGTCCTCTACACTGTGGTCTTGCCCTGATCTTGTAGACCTGCCTTGCCAGGACAGGGGATTGGATTTTCCTAGAGAGCTCAGTTTCTCTTGCAAAGGGTTCACAAATACTAATTTAAACAGCTTTTCAAGATTCTGCTGGGGTCCCCTTCTAGCTGTGCTCCCAGCTACAGGAAGATCTCACAACGTTGGAGAGTTGATATATAAGTAAAGCCCTTATTGATGGGATTCCTCTGCTGGTCTCCCCCACCCTCTGTATGGACATGCCTGCACCGCTGTCTCACTTGCTGTCAGAGGTTTGATTGGGTGACCTTGTGTTTCTTGGGACTCTTCCCCATAGAGGCCATAGAGGTTGAATATTGATTAGTCTAACACAATCATGTAATTCCATTTCCCTTGTCATAGAGCATATGATACAACACTGGTCAACAAGTTCCTTTAAGAAAGTATTTTTATCCATTAAAAGGAATACAAATGAGAAATTCATCTCTTCCTGCTTTTGACTATTGTCATATGTGGATGTGATGCTTGGCACTGCTGCAGCCACCTTGTGACCATGAGGAGAAAGTCAAGAGAATTCCAGAATCTGAACTTGGTCAAGCCATTGAGTTAAACAGCCCTGAAACCAGCCTGCCTCTAGACCTGTTAGAGGAGACAAACCCCATAACTCAGAGCTACTTTTAGCTGGGAATTCTGTTTCTTGCAGCCTGAGGCAATCTAACAGAAGTGATCTGACATGCAGCTTTGACCAAAAGGGCCAACAGGACACAGAGCAGCAACAGTAGTGTGTGAAATACAAACTTGCATTCACATTTGGAATCGTGAACTGCCACCTGACTGAGAGGGGCACATGAGGTGAGCCCATTGGCCACCCTGTCATGTTGTGGAAGAGGAAATTGAGGCTCAGGGAAGTGATAAGAATAAGACTCTATAGTTCTTCATATTTCACATATTGCACGCATAATTCACACTTTTATATAGACCATCTCACTTAATCTTTATAAAAATTACTATCTTTACCCCCATTTTATAGGTAAATTTACCTATAAAACTGGACAGTATTAAGCTATTAATAGCTATATTGTGTTTTATATTATCCAAAGTGCTTTCTACATCATACTGTATTTAATTATTACCTTTGAATCTAATCTGTAAGGCAGAGGCTTGCAAAAGAAACAGCAGACTCAGAGGTCCACTCACTTGGTTGAGCTCCAGGAAGCTCCAGGGCTGGTCCTCCTACACCAGCAGTTCTCACGGTGCAGAACCCACGGCCTCAGCATCACCTGGGAGCTTCTTAGAAATGCAAATTACTGGGCCCCACCCAGACTCACTGAATCAGAAACTCTGGGGTGGGTTCCAATAGTCTGTACCTCAGTAATACTCCCAGATGATTCTGATACAGACTCTCATTTGAGAAGAGTTTGCTGTGCACCAAATTGGCTCTGCAGTGACTTCTCCAAAGTTACCCTGTCGCATTAGCCAGAGGTCCAATCAAGGGCCAAGTGCTCTTTCTAATATGGAAAACGGAAGCTAAGCTGAAAAAGGCCAATCATGAAGATAAAAGTCAAGAGACAAAATCATAGCTGTTGATCTAAGACTAATACAATCATGAAGCATACACTATACCATAGATAATAGATTATCCTTCGATCTTAAAGAAAATAGAATCAATAAGCAGAGACGATACCATTGTGCACATCACAGAGTCACCTAACAGAACTTAGAACCCACACCAGTGGATGGTCAACACCATCCATCCATCCACATGAGCTGAGGACTCTCCTGAAACTCATCTGCGATTTTTGTTGAGAAGAGAGATGATGCATATGAGTCATCTATGATGCACCAGATACTTACAAATGTGACATCATCAAAGCTTAAACAGTCCTTCCAGGTAGGTATAATCCTACCATGATATTCGTAAAGAACGTGGGGTTCAGAAAGCTTAAATAACTCACCCAAGATCCACCCAGCTAATGAACAATGAAACCATTACTCAAACAAAGAAATAGTTTCCTCCATATTCTGAATTCTTTTGGCTACTTCACTTTATTATTGATCATGCTGCATCTGGGTGAAAACCTCTCAAAGCAGCCCACCTCTAACACCAGCAGCCCCTCTGCAGCCTTGAGATTGGTTAGTTTCCCACCCAGGATCCTCTGCTTCTGTACCCCCACTCTCCACTTTGTGCACCTGCCTCTCCTCCTGAGGGCCAGGGTCTGCATCACACTTATTTTTGTAACCCTCAAAGAGCCTCACACAGGGCTCCGAACAGAGCAGAGCACACGCCCTTATGTGTTTACTTAAAACCATTCAGACACTGATGCTGGGGGAAGGCCCCGATCTTTGGAGGATGATGGCATTGAAAGGAACCCTGTTTTCCCAGCATGACCCCAGCGTCTTGGGCCACTGCTGGTCAGGCGAACTCTTCATGTGAGCCAGAGTGAAAACTTTTGGTTCTTGTGTGGTTGGGTTGTATCAGCCTGGTACCTCCCGCAAGCCACAGGGTGGTTGCACAAGAGATATTGTTGACAGATTGATTTACTGACTAATTTATACAACATACTTATCCAATGACATAGGCATCTTGGAGGGAGTTCAGAGGAAAATAACCAAGATGATTAAAGGATTGGAAAATGTGCTTTACAGGGAAAGGTTATAGGGACTGGGGTTATTTAACTTGGAGCAAAGAAAGCCGCTGAACACTGCACGCATAGGCTATTGCGCTGGAGAGAGGCTATGGCCTCTTCAGTCCAACCTGCTTGCATCCCACCTGGGAAACCAAGGCCCGCAGAGCAGACCCAGAGTGGCCTACGCTCTGTGACTGCAGGTGCAGTGGTGTTTCTCCAACCCCGGGTCTCCCTAACCGGCGTGTGTGTCAACACACTCCCATACCAGCACCCACGCGCATATGCACACCTGCAGGCACACACTCTGACACACACATACACAAACATACATAAGCACTAAGGTGCTGCAGATGGCAGCCAGCTCTCCTCTCTCCCCCAGGGTTAGCCTAGTAGAGCAGGCCCAGGTCAGCAGAATTCAGAAGAGGTTTTCTGGATGATATTTCTATGTCTCAGAGGGTAAAGGGAGTGGGATGTGGGTTATGCTTCTCTGCAGGTTGCCCCAAGCAAGGGAGGTTCTCGCTGTCTGAGGTACACTCTGGGCTGTGGGAGGGGACCAAAGTGTCTTCTAGGGCCACCTCCATGGTTACATCTCTAGGGGGCAGTGGCTTTGCCCCCTTCTTCATCACTACGGGATGAATTCCCTCCACTGTGGAGGGAGCCCCCAGTGTGAGGTGAGCTGGCAGTGGGGTATGGAAAGTACAGGACCTTGCAAGGCACCGAGACAGTGATTGGTAATCACACTGGGCATGGCTGTGGTCTCACTGGCTGTGTGCCCTCTGAGAGTCACTTGCCCCCAATCCTTGGCCTCTTGGCCAGTCAGCCCTGAGCAGGAAGATGGCATTAGCCTTGCCCAGGAACAACCAAAAAAAGAGCAGCAAGGAAGAAGAGGTTTGAGGCAGACCCGAGTTTGACTTTGCTAACCTCCCATAACTTAATCTCTGCTGCCTCCTTTTCTTCTTTTGGGGAAATGGGCTCAGTGACCTCAAACTTCAGGCCAGTAGAGAAAAATTCTACGAGGTCATTCCTGGGGGCCAGCGACCTCATTACATGCTGTATGTTCACCCCAGCCCCTGATAGCTTTCCCCGAAGTCTTGATCCTCTCAGAAGCCAATGTCACCCCCAACCTAAACCCCTCACATGCTGGTCTCACCCTGCAGGACTGGAGTCCTTCTCCCATCCCCACCACACCAAGAAATGGAGAAGGGTCATCAGGAGGGACTTCTGCCTCTCTGGATGCATTGTTCACCCTCCAGGTGCATAATGGGAGAACCAGACAGGCTATAATATTAATATCTCATAAACTAGCGAGCAGAAGCCTGAATCTAGGGCTGAATCTTGTTCGAACATGACCTAACACCAAACAGCCCAGCAGACTGATGGGAGAGTCTTGCATCACATTGAGCATCCTGCTCAAGACGTACCTCCCAGAGTCTCAGGCTGGAATGCCGCCCCGCTGGCTGTGACTTCCCCGTACCAGTAGACAGTCTTCAGGTGGGTGACCCACAGGACACAGGCTTACCATCTTCTAGGGAGGGCAAGGACATGCCCAGCTTCCTGAGCCCCCTTGAATCCAAGAGGGATGTCTGGCTGCTTTGAATGTCACCTCTCCCCCTGCAGCTGGTCCTACTTCCAGGAGCCTCAGGTCTCGTGGCCCTCCTCTGGATGGTTTTCAAAGCCACTCTCCTTGGCTCGAGAGCCCAGAACTCCAGCCCACCCTGCCTTCTCAGCCCAAGCAGACAGGCCATTTGCACTGAGGCCAGACACTTCACATCTCTCAAAACAGGGCTGGATTATTATACACCCAAAGAGGATTAGTGGGGGACACCATCTGTAGAGAGAGTAATTAGCTTAGTGGGTTACACAGGTTGTTCCTGGCCCTCTGCCCAAGGGTACAGTCCTCAGGACTATTCAGCGTAGTCCTGTGGGCTTACAGGGAGCCCTCCACACCCCAGGGACTCCCACCCAATTCCAGCTGCCTGGGTGGGCCACAGGGAGTCTGTGCTGGCAGGGGTGTGCTGGTGGGGAAGTGCGCTGCTGGGGTTGGGGGGAGGTGTGCTGCCAGGGGTGGACAGTCCACAGGGAGTGTCCCACCAAAACACAAGTCCTGAGTGGGGACTTGTGAGTGGGGACAGCAGAGAAAAGGTGGCTGGCTGGCTGGTTGCCATCTCCCCACATAAAGCAGAAAACAATTTTTGATGACATCCCATGAGGCGGGAATTAGGTGTATAGGGGCCTGGAGAAACCATCAGCAGCGGTTTTCTCTCCCAATGCCCAGCGGCCAGGCTCCTCCTCAGACGGCCCTCCTTCCTGATTTCAGACTAAATTGATCATATGGCTTTATGTGGGCAACACTCTGGCAGAACTACTGAAGCCTGGAATCATCAAATCCACTCTCTCTGAGGGCGGAAACCTACTCTTTCTTAGAATACCCATGTTCATGTGCAAGGTTGCCTAAAGGCAGGGATGAACTGTATGAGCTAAAGCTGGTGGTTTCCTCACTGGGAATTAATTAGGTTAAAGAGCCACTTGTGTACACAATTGAGACTGAAACTGCATTGTCATCAAGAGGTAAAAACTGAGCCAATGTATGCTCAACATCAATATGACTGATCGATTCTGCCAACAAAATCACTCAAGTCTTGCTAGCTACCAGTTACAGCCATTCAGTCCAAACGATCAGAACCAATAGGATATATACAGATATCTAGCTATAGATAGATAGATGGATAGAGAGAGAGAGAAATTTATTATGAGAGATTGGCTCCTGCAATTATGGAGGCTGGGAAACCCCACAATCTGCCTTCTGCAGGTGGAGGCCCAGGAGAACCCAGGGGGTAGTTCAAGTCCCAGCCCAAAGGCCTAAGAATCAGGGAAGCTGTCAATGTAACTCATGGTCTGTGTCCAAAGGCCCAGGAACCAGAAGCACTGATGTCCAACCAAGGTCAGAAGAAGGTGAAGGTCTCAGCTCAAACAGAGAGAGCAAATCCACTTCACGTCTGCCTTTTTGTTCCATCAAGGTCCCTGACAAATCGGATGATGCGTACCCATATTGGTGAGAGAGATCTGCTTTACTTGGTCTACCAATTTGATTGCTGGTCTTTTTGAGAAGAATCTTCACAGACACTCTCAGAAATAATGTTTCACCAGCTGTCTAGGCCTCCTTACCCCAGTTGAAGTGACACCTAAAATTACCCACCACCCTGGGCTTGCCCACGTAATTTTAATGAGTTAGAATAAACATTGTCAAACACCAAAGTCAGGCTGAAACCTGGATTGCTCGTGCAAAATGCAGAGTTTGGGTAGTGCCATAGCGCTCACATTTATTGTGCACCAGCAAAGTACGGAATGTTCATTGATATTTAGTAAATGCCACTTCATCTGAATCTATGAATAAGCACACAAAGACCATCAAATTTTTCACTAGCTTTTTTATTTTCCAAAAGAATATGGAAATCATTGCAAGTGAAGGGAAAATAAAGCTGTTTGATGCCCACATCTGCAAAGTGAGTGCACCCAGTGATCTCTAAGTGGAGAGACCGTACGTTTTATCAGCCGATCCACGACACTTCAGGGAGTGAGACAGGGCTCCATCAACTGCTTCTGGACAGCAGGAGCCAATGAGACTGCCCCAGGCAATCTGGACCTGGGACTGCCCTACCTCTGAAGGGACCGTGTGTAAATGTCTATGACTCCATGAGTTGCATGGTCCAATAGACTTCGTCCTCCAGAAAACCTATTTAAATGACTAGAGCTTTTGCACCTGGCCCTCAGTGACCTTTGTATCAATCAATAAGAGATTCACAACTCAATGTTTTTATATACCTACTATAGCCACTACTGAAGATGCAAAGGAATTTCAGATAAGCTAACAGCTACTGTGCGGCACTCAGATTCCTATGATTTAAGACCCTTTGTCTACAACCCCCAACCCACAACTCACTCCCCTGTCTATTCCCCAGGCTTTTGAGCCCATATGTGCTTGGCTCAAGGAACCTCAACTGTACACGGTCAGTCCCAGACCACAGGCTTCCACTCTAGCTTCTCTCCTGCTCTTCTCCCCACTCCATCTGTTTTCACTCTCAGCAGACCCTAGTCACCCTCCTTGGATTCCTCCTACATCCCCTTCCTGTCTCCAGACTGCCCTGCCACCAGCCCACTGCCCATGGGACACCGCTTTGGCCACTCCGTTGTCAATCAGTCCAGCCCCCTCCTGCCTCTCTTCTATCTCCAGGACTTGGAAGCAGCTGGAGTAATTCAGTCCTTCCTGTGGACTGAAGTTCCTTCAGCTTCATGGTCTCAGTGTGAACTGGGCCTCCGATGAGACCCCTCCATGCTTCCACCATTCCCGGGTCAGGCCCAGTCCTCACGGTAGCTATTCCCGACCAATATCAATTTCCCCAAGTCACTGTCCCAAGGGACCTCTGATCGGAATGATAGGAGCTGAGCTTTTGGTCCTTAGGGTTCAAGCTACACCTGCTTGCGGCAGAATAGGAAATCCTCTGGAAAGAAATTGCTGGTGCTTTGCTGTAGTGTGTTTTCCAGGACCACCTTTCCTTGTGTAGTGCAGCCAGCTGCGTTCTGCACCCCGCTATAGAATTTGGATTGGCTTCGGCCGGAAACCCACCAGAGGACTGCCCTCAGATCTAAGACAGCTGCTGTGGTCAGACAGAGTTGTTTTATCTTCTTGTCATCATCTAGATCCTCCTCTTCCCTCTGCCCCTTCATCATCCACTGCTCCTGGGAGGAAAGAGTGCCCACTTCCCTTCTCCCGAATGCAGAGAAGGGCCTCCTGGCCACAGGCAGCCAGGCCACCTGCTGGCCTCCTCTGTAAGGCCCCTAGGAACTCCCAGCTGGACAGTTAGCCATATGTGTGACCTCTACAGCTGGACTTCCAGAATGAGGGGAACTGCCTTACACTGGTGTTACTGAGTGCAGCTGGAAGCAAGGTCACCAACTGCTGGTTACCTGCACAAAATAAGATAAGGCCAGATGCTGGAAGCAAGCATTTAGAAACTTTTATATAACAATTTGACCTCATGCTAATATCTGAGTGTGAAGTGGTTGACCTGTGTTTTATATGTCTAATATATTTTCTTGCTTTTTTCTTTCCTCCAGTTGGTTTTAATGAACAGTAGTATCACATGTACACAGTCCAGGACAAGAATTTCCTAATAAACTTTTCTAATACAAAAAGTGCTTCCTTTCCTATACCCTAAGCAAAGGGAAGAGAAGCCTGGATGGGCCCTAAGTTTCTTGCAAGGAAATGGAACAGGGAGAGCAAGTTCTAGGCCACAAAGAGAAGACTCACAAGCAATAAACATATGGCTCCATCCTTCCTGTGAGTCCCGCCTGCCCTTAAAAATGAACTACATCCTTAGCCTCAGGTATTTTCCAGGGAGCAGTGGTTCACTTTGTTTATTGCTATAGAGAGCCCTGGGCTCCTCCTGGAGCCTCTGCCCCCAACCCCCCCCCCCCACACACACACACAGGAGCCATGGGCTGTGCCTGCCTGAGGCAGTATGAGGGGCAGGCTCAGCCATCTGGTACATGTCATGCTTCCTCTGGATCCCAGGGCTCTGGCTGTGAAACACCTCCAGCAGCTCATGCGACAGCTTCTCTGTCATCAGCATCTGCTGACTTCTCCCTGCTCTCAGTAGTCATCACTCCATGGCCAAGAAGCGACAGCACTAGGGGTACAAGAATAATGTTTTCTAACGATTCATTTTATTGTGTTCTTTTACATACGGACCTGCCACAGACTGGAAATTTAAAAAACAAACAAACACTTTCTTCCCCATGGATTGTTTATCTGGGAAGCAATTCCCTGCCCTAGTCACAGCATCCTTCCCTTTCTTTGAAAGGAAGGAACCTTCTTGTAATTGTGTGCATCCCACCCCATCCCACCCATAAAGGGCTGGTGTCCACATCGCATGAGTCCACTAAGGCTGCCATCACAAAGTACCACAGACTGGGGGCTTAAACAACATCCATTTATTCTCACAGTTCTGGAAGCTGGAAGTCCAAGGCCAAGGTGTCAGCAGGGCTGGTTCCTTCTGAGGCCTCTGTCCTTGGTTTGCAGACAGCCGTCTTCTCCCGATGTCCTCACATGGCCTTCCCTCTGCTAGTGTCTGTGTCCTAATCTTTTAAGGACACAAGTCAGATTGGATGAGGGCCCACCATGTGACCTCATTTTACCTTAATTACCTCGTTAAAGGCTGCATCTCCAAAAGCAGTCGCCTTGTGAGGTCCTGGGGGTGAGGGCTTCAACGTGGGAATTGGTGGGGCACAGTTCAGCTCATAAGACAAGTGCAGTCACACAGTTAGGACAGTCCTTCCAGCTCATGCGTCTTCTCCACCTTGCTCCCAGCACTCTCCAATGCCTTAGCTCTTCGACTGTAACAGAGCAGATAACAGGGCAGGACTTGGAGGACCATGGCTCAGTTTTGAAGCGCCTGGCCACTTGTAAACTGGAGACCAACAGGGCCACAGGCAGCAAAATTGAGATAATGCAGGGAATTTCTTTCTTTCATTGGTTTAACAAACGTTAATCTAATTTTTATGGTGCACCCGATACTGCTCTAGGCACTAGAGATGCCAAATAAACAAAGAGTGCTCTCATGGGCTTCCGTTCTGAGTCCCATCTCTTCTTCCCCCTCCCAGGCTCCCGGGCTGGCTTCTGATTCCTGGTGCCTCTGGCCTCCCTGCCACAGCATCCTCTCCTGAGAGGTCCTCAGGGAAGCTGTGGACCTCGACCAAATCATCC